TATATATATATAGGTATATAAGTTACAAATAAAAGTTTTCAAATTTTAATTTCTCTGATTTATAAGCGAAATTCAGTTGTAAATATATATATGTATATATTAGTTTTGAAATTTATTTAATTATATGTTATATTATAATTATGTTTATTATGTAATATGTTTATTATAAAACTATTATTTGTAAAATATTTAATATTTAAAAATGTTATATTTTCTATTTGCTTTTCATCTTCTTTCATTTGTCTCGTTTTTTTTTGCAACATAAAATTATAATCTCTGTTTTTTATATTTTGCACTTTGACCTAATTTTATAATCATTTGCGTTTCAAAGTCTTCATTTAAACAAGTTAAAGTTTATTGAAGTGAACATCACATATTGTCTATATGTATATGTAAGTTTAGTAATACAAAATTTTATTAAAAAATATTTAAAAATGAAATGAAAACATATATATACATATATATGTATAATAGAAGTAAATGAATACGCCGTTTAACACAGTTTATTTTCAATGCCAAACAACATTCGGAGCACTTAGCAGAAGAGGCTAGAGCCATGCTCTACTTTAAATAAAATTATACAAAAAAGGTTACACGAAAAATATATTTAGATATAGCAACAAAATTTATTTAAAGTAATTTTATTGTTTATTTTATTTAAAATCAATTAGATTCGTGTTTATTCCAGTACAAAATTCTTAAAATACTTATTATTACAGCAGTCGCAACGATAGACTTAAGTAACAAACTTGTTCCATTATTAATATGTACTATGATTCCATTTTACTTTAAATAAATTATAAGCAGATTATTAGTGTTTTTAATTATTTCATATCTAATTTATACTATATGAAAATAATTATTTAATAAATATAGTGGTTTAATTTTAATATTAAAAAGAGCAAAATATTCGATCAAAAATTTGAATATCTGAAATTGAGTTATTTAATAAATAGAATAGGAAATTATAATTATTCAAAATTAATTTTTTTTAAAAATTTGAAGCCATATTTTTGAAAAACCTCATCACTTTCAAAACTCTGAAAATTTCTTTTTCAAGTTTCTAAATTATTTTTTTAATAAAATTTCCATTATTATGTATCGTCTCCCATAAGTAATAAGCCTATTATAAAACGCCGACAGCCTTTTTTAACAAAAGCAGCATAAATTTATGAGTTGTTATTAAAAAAAATAGATCATTTTAGAGGCTAATTCCAAACAAAAACAAAAACGGTGCATAAAAGATGGGGAATGGGCATCTGGAATGATTTTTATCAATTAAAATGGTATGACTTTGTATTCACCACCCACCTTTTTGTTCTTTAATAAGTTCATCAAAGACGATTTTGGTTTTTAACAGTATGCGAAACAAAATTTTTTGTATTGAATATGAAAAAAAAAAATTATTATTACAATGGCTTTGCAATCAAAACCGAAGACGGTAAACTGATCAAAAATTGACTGCAATTCACTTAAATTACGACAATCGAAGAAGCCATTAAACTAATATCTGGCAGAAAAATAATAATCATTTGTTCCAACAACCTCTCATCTCTAAATGCCATAAAAAACATACGGCAGATGAACCCCTAATACTCCGAGTAAAAGAAATATTACTAAGTAGCAAAAATGTAAAGCTAATATACACCCATATAGTTATAGATATAAAAGATAACGAATTTCTTAACAAATTTAGCAAAGCTATGGAAAAATCTCCCACATTTTGTATCAACAAACACACAAAAAAGGATATAAGAAAAGTAACTCTACACAAGAACTTGTAACTTCGACGCACTACTTTAACTTCTATAAATTGATTAACCAACACAAAAACAAACCTAATCTACCACCAATCTTATCACGTTCTCAGCAGCGCATCATAACAAGATTAAGACACTCCAACCTAACTTACATCCACTTGCTCAATAGGGATGTACAGCCAACATGTCCCAAATGTGGATATATTCTAACCATGAGCCATCTCATAAACTGCTACAACAACCCAACCTACGATACCAGTCTTTTCTACGCAATCAAGAATAGCGACTACAATATAATAAAGCTACACCTACCCAAAGACATATTAAAACCAATTTAGATATAATTCTTAACATAAATATAAGCACAGGGCGAAGGACTTAGAAGCCAAGTTCCTTATTCTTAGTAAATTTAAAAATTAATATAGACAATAGAATAAAGAGGATGACATAGTTTAGTTTAAGTAATATTAATTTTTATTTGATCGTGATCTTGATGACTTGACTCTCAAAGAGAGTCAAAATATATAATATAATAAAAAATACTAAATGTTGAATTATTTAACAAAAAGCGACCTATAACCAGATTAAAAAATATATAAAAACCATTTTAAAAATTAATTTTAGATATATATAATAACTCACAAATAAATAATTAAAGTAATTAATTGATGTTAACTAATTAACTAATGTTAATATTAAAAACAAATTAAAAAAGTGAAAAGTATAAACTTTAAGTTGAACCCAATTATTTTTTAAAATATAAAAAATTTTTATGTATTTTTAACTATGAAATCACTCTGTTTTGTTCAAACTTCCATATAGCACTTGAAATTTTCCTAAAATTTTTTTTTAGCACTCCTGGAAGATGCCAAAGGTATATCCATGCGGGAACGCTATATGAGCGTTCGTGCAAATTTATTGGATAGCAACCCTCCCTACAGACTCCTAAGAAGGTTTTTGTACCTGAATATTAGTGAATCACACTACTGAAAGAATCTTTTACTAAATGTTTTGGTTAGGCGGGTGTTATTGAGAACTACTACAATATAGCTGAAATTATCTCAATTTTTTTTTTGTTATATTTTAATCATAGTATAAGAAATTAAAATTTTTATACTAAATAAAGTCTTACAAGGTTATATCTAATAATTATTTTTTCATTACAAAATCTTAAAGCAATATTTATATATGTATATTTTTAAAAAATGGACACTTTAAGCCACTCCCATACTTTCTGCAAGTAAAAACCCATTAAGATTATTATTTCTGCAAACGTTTATATTCTGTGGACTTTTTGCATCTTTTAAACTCTACGCACAGTACAAATATTTAAGAGGAGCACACATTGCAGGCGAAAATTTGCCTAAAGATTGTTTTAAATGAAAGCAAACAAATTGTGTTTTCAGTCAGATTTTTCACACTTTAGCACAATATTTGCGGTGCTCATAAATACTTACAACATCTTTAGTAATTATTTAAGTTTAACATCTAACAGAGTTGCAACATACTGCAAAGGCCATAATTAAAAAATGCATGAACATAACTCCGAGGCACTCAAAATAAGCGCAACATATGTGTAACATAGTTGATAGATTTCCGGTGAAATACTGCTTATTAACTGATTTATTATTATTATTATAATTAATATTAATTAGTATTACTTACAATAAACATAATGAATATAAAGTTATCGGATAAAAACTGAACAACAGAGTGCCTCAAACTTCAAATGATTAATTTTAATTAATTATTACGAAATAATTTAAATGTTAAACAATACATAAAAAATATTTATAATTAATAGAAAATATTAGTATCTCACTAATATTAAATATAATTTGCTCTTACGCTTTGGTAGACTTTGAAGTGTGTATTAATAGTTTGGTTCAAAATAGTTTGACCCAAATAAGAGGTAATTGAACTCATTTCTTAAAAAGCGAAGCATTAAAATCTCATTTAAGCTTATTTATATATTTTTTGGATTTTCCAAAAATCATTAGAAACGTAAGTATAAAAACAAATTATGGTATATTTGTGTAATATAAATTTGTAATTCCAAGAACTTCAAGAATTTATTGAAAAATATATAAATCATTTTCGGTTCATAGATACTTATCAAATTTAAGATAAAATTAAAATAAAGATATAAAAATGTTATTTTTATATTACAAAATTTGGGTAAGAAGTGTAAAAAATTTAGTTTAATAAATAAACAAATTATACAAATTTAAATAAAAAAATAATAAATGAAATATTTAGTTTAATAATCAATAAATAGTTGTACTTCTAATCAAGTTCGAACATTCACCCACCAACCATTAAAAGCCAGTTTCAAAATATATGCAAGTTCTTGATCTTACTCAAGGCTATACAAAAGTTACTTAATGGAATTCAGATATGCGCATTTAAATGAAAATTATTTTAGTCATAGTAACATTTTTTATAGTAACATTTTAATATACAAGAATATATATTATAACATATATCTGTATTAACGTACTTATAGTAATAATTAAATAAAAAATATGCACCACGTTTTAATGTTTAAATGTTTCACTTCAGGAAACGAAATCATACGAGTTCAAAAAGATAGTGCCAAGATAAAGACATTCTTAACTACGATAACAAAAACGTACAATATTTTATAGAAACTGAATTGCGAAAATTAAAGAATCTGCAATTTTAACAAATAAAAAGGATATATTTCAAATTAAAAGCTGTATATGCACCGCTAGTCATTTCTTGAATCAATCAGTAAAATAAAGAATAATGATTTCTCTCAACCATTAAAAGAAAGAATAATGATTTGTCTCAATATCAAGTTTTTATAATGATGTAATTATAACTAAATTAATTAATAATTAAATTTATAATTAAATTTATATTATAGAGTATAATAGAGGTTTTTGGATAGTCCAATTGTAGTAAATCTCTAGTAGACCAAATATAAGATACTCAGTTTTTCAAATAAACACCAAAAAGTTTTTATAATAATTTAATATCACAGGTAGATAAGCGCTCCCAATTACTGGCTCCCAAAACAAAATAGTTGTTTTATTCAGTTAGTTTACTGATAACTTTTATTCACGACTGCTTTATTATTTCTCAAAAACACATGTCGCCTTTTCGCGTGTGCTTAAAGGCGACGACACAATACAAAAATGACAAATAAATTAAAGGCCATGATACAATAAATCTTAATTCTAAACATATCGCCGCCTTTGATGGCTCCAGCAGACATCAACATTCAGATGGAATAGGTGCCAATTTATGGATTGCTCGGCGAACCTCTCCATTCTTTGTTTTTACATCAGCAACTCGAACCCAACCTTTAGCATCTCTTGTCACTTTCAGCACTCTCCCAATAAGCCATTGCTTAGAAGGCAAATTTTCTTCTGCAACTAACACCATATCACCTTCATTAAGGTTCTTCTGCTTCTTAGTCCATTTGACTTTCTGTTGAAGTTCATGAAGATACTCCGCCGACCACCTTCTCCAAAAATGTTGTTGTATGGCCGAAATTCGTAGCCATCTATCTTTATGAGACCATTCTTCGCTATCCACAGAAGGTTCCACAGTTCCAACCAACGGACCACCTGTTAAGAAATGTGCCGGTGTAAGAACGCTTTCATCATTTGGGTCGTTAGACAAGGTTGTCAAAGGTCTTGAATTTAAAACTGCCTCTACTTCCGCAACCACTGTTGCCAGCTCTTCAAATGTAAGATGTGATTGACCCAATATTCTAGCCAAATGATATTTTGCTGATTTTACAGCCGCTTCCCATAGTCCACCAAAGTGGGGGGATCTGGGTGGTATATGATGAAATTCAATACTATTGGCAGTACAATATTTTGAAATCTTGCCCTGTACTTGTTGATCAAAAAACTTGCATTTCATTTCCTCGAGCTCTTTACGAGTACCCACAAAATTAGTGGCATTGTCGCAAAATAATTTTAAGCATAAGCCGCGTCGTGCTACAAATCTTTTTAATGAAGCCAGGAAAGCCTTTGCAGTCAAATCAGAGACCACCTCCATATGCACAGCTTTTGTGGCAAAACAAATAAAAACAGCAATATAGCTTTTTGTTGTTCTGTACCCACGAAGTAGATACGTTGTTGTAATAGGGCCGCAAAAGTCCACTCCAGTCACAGTGAACGGCCTCGCTACGGTGACTCTAGAAGAGGGTAAATCGCCCGTAATCTGATTACTCAATTTTGGATGGCATCTAAAGCATTGTAGACAACTACCAGTAATTTTGCGTATTACTCCTCTAGCATGAAATATCCAAAATCGCTGCCTAACTATAGCCATAAGCGCTTGCGTACCAGCATGCAAATATTTGAAATGAAGAAATCGTACAAAACTGCAAACTATTTCTGAGTTATTCGGTAACAAAATTTGATGTTTAGCATCATATGGTAATGCAGCCTTCGCTAATCTCCCACCAACACGTAGTAGCGGAACACCATAAGTATCTTCTACAAAAATGCTCAGATTTTTATATTTACTGTTTGCTGGCAATTCTCTATTCTTCAATAGCAGCTCAATTTCTTCTTTGAAATAATGTTGTTGCACACAGTAGAATATACGCACTAGTGCTTCATCTAATCTTTCAGCCATAGACTTAACGCTTCTTCGAAAGCCAAGAAGATTGGCAAAAATTCTTTGTAATTTTTCAAAATCGCTGAAGGTTTCAACCCACGTCACAAAAGAAGATTTCGAGTTATCCTCAGAGCATGTCTCATAAGGTATTTTTTTTTTCAAATTATTAACAGTCATTATCGTACTATTACGACTCCTTTCTTGGTCAGCATTAGTATTCTTTCTAGACTTATTTGGTGGCCACTCACAACAATCTCTCTTCAAGAAAGAAGGACCTGCAAACCAAATAGAATTAGATAGTTCATCTACATACGCACCTCTTGATATTATATCCGCTGGATTAGACTTTGAAGGAACATGCCGCCAATTACACGTTTTTGTCTGCTCTTGAATCAATGATACCCGGTTGGCAACAAATGTGTTCCAATTTGATGGGTGCTCGCTCAGCCAATCTAGCACAATTTCGGAATCCACCCATAAATAGGTCGCGTCAATAGAAATTGGAAAATTGGATTTGGTTTTTGTCACTAGTTTCGACAGCAATTCCGCAGCCAAAAGTTCCAATTTTGGTAAAGATAAAGTTTTTAATGGCGCTACTCTGGATTTAGCACTCCACAACTGCATTGTAACGTCGTTGTCCACACATATTGAGCGAATGTAAATACAACACCCGAAAGCTCTTTTTGATGCATCAGCAATTTTAACTCTAGCAACTCGTTTTTCTGCCAAAACAAATCGAGGCACACTTATTTTCTTGACGTCTTTTAAATTTTCGCGGAATTCTATCCATTGACTATGTAAATTCATTGGTAGGGATTCATCCCAATTAGCCTTCAATATCCACAAATCTTGCATGAAAATCTTCGCCTTTACGATTAATGGGTTAATCAGCCCAAGGGGATCAAACAACTTAGATAGTTC